ACCAACAAAGGATGGAAGCTTTACAGAATGAAATGAAGAATGAAAACAAAATAATGGTGTAGTTACTTCTCTTTGCTCACCGAGTCATAAGATCTACCAAGTCATACAAAAGTCTTGAATAACAACCCCCCCTCTCCCCCCCCCCTTTATCATGGACAAAAGGACACACACACAGCACAACTGCCAAGACTGAGGCTCAATGTTTGTGATGGAGGCTAGATGTGCCAGGCTACAGTTCCCCAAGCTTTGTTTGGATGTAGTAAGTGTTTTACGGCACTTGCAACACAATAAGCTCATATAAGTGCCGAAGATTACAGGTGTTACAAGAGAGTAACAAACACAAAAAAGAAGGAGGGGAGAGAAGGACGATAGCTTTTGATAGGAAAGAAGGAGCAAACCACGCCAGAGCACCCCTCAACCACCCACAGTTCATCAAGATAGGTGACATGACATCCAAAAAGTAAGCAAGATACATACATACCATTAACGGGAGGAGCTACCCTTGAGGACCATTTTCTATGTCTGTTGCCCAAGATCAAATCTAAGTACACATATAAGTTAGGCATAGTAAAATCTATTGATGCGCCATTATTTTTTTGGCACAGCAACAACGGTTGCTATGGAAACGGCTGCCATCTTGAAAATAAACAATGAATTTCAAATCCCTAAGGCTTTCTTATTTACCAACCAAATTTGACCAAATGTGGTGAGAGTATACCTGAACTAGACCCTATCAGAGTAACAGCAAGCTTATTTCAAAAAGTTGAAAAGAAAAAAATATATGAGAATTTTCCCAAAGTATAAAATAAAAAAAAAAAATTTAGGTTGCGTAATCGCTTGCCAATGGAAAAGTGTTATTGTTTTCGCAAATATCTCTGTTACATTGATGGCAGCCTTGCCATCTATGTTTCCTGAAAGTTTCATCTCAAAATGATGAAAACTAAGGAAGGAGTAGGGAAAAACGGCAAAAAAATTACATTTTGCGAAAACTGACCATTATTGTGAAAATTCACTATATTAACCCATCGTCATGTTTTTAAAGGCAATTTACGAGGAGAATAAACACTTTCTCAAATGTATCCATGCTATTTTTGGACAAAAAACTGGTTGATCCTGAAAAATCAGCCAACAGAAAATTTGCATAGCCTGACCCAAAATCTGCAAAATCAAGGGTCGCTCCTCCCCTTAATGTACAAAGTTTGATTTTGTTTGAGCAAGGAGAAGCATATTGATGACACAGTTAAGTCCATTTTGAGAAGCGGGCTGACAAAATGAGTTACTTCTCGGATTCGAGCCCTACGGAAGAAGATACTTCACGCTTATAGGTGAAGTTTTTACAATTTATAAGATGAAATGATAAAGGACATGTTATAGTTCAAGAATACTGTATCAACAGAGAATCAACAAATTTGACCCTCGTGTCGATTTGTGGCCAATATCTCCATTTGTGGATTGCGAGAAGTAACTCATTTTGTCAGCATGTCTCACATTTGATTTAGTGCTGGGGAAAAGGTAGACAGGCAGACAGAAACCAGAGAGGGAAAGAAAAGAAGAAGTAGAATCAACCAGAGGAGCCCACCAACAGCTGTATTATACAGAAACGTCCCGACAAAGTCCACAAACATCATCTCGTATAGTATAGACGTCATTGAAGCCAAGAGGAGGAAAAAAGTGGACGAATTAATGTCTCAGTGATGACTTAACATCTGCGTGATGATTTAACGTCTCGGTGATGATTTATCGCCTCGGTGATGATTTATCGTCTCGGTGACGATTTAACGTCTCGGTGACGATTTAACGTCTCGGTGATGATTTATCGTCTCGGTGACGATTTAACGTCTCGGTGACGATTTAACGTCTCGGTGATGATTTAACGTCTCGGTGATCACCGACAAGTAGAGAACACTCATCTTCCAGCAACGATTCTTGCACAGCCCAGGAAGAAAACACTCACACTAAAATACTGTACACTCGTTTTGTATTTTTCTTTTTTGCACACTCTCAAGGAGTCCACAAGGGGGCTCTCGTGGCCTAGAGGTTAAGGTGTTGGCCTCTCATTCAAAGGTCCCGGGTTCGAATCCGGGTAGCGACCAAAAAATTTTCTTCTCTAAAATTGTCTCCTTTCACCTCCTTTCCTGCTCTCTAGCAATGTTCTGTTGTCTGCTTTCGTCTCCACTTTCTGCCCCCACTCCTTCACCTCCTTTGCCCCCTCCTCTGGGCTCCTGACTCTTTCTGCAGCCTTTCTACTGCTACTCCTTGGCTCCTCCTTACTGCTGTCTTTCTGCCACACCCCTGATCTTCTGGTAGGAAAGATCTACACCTAGCCTTCTCGGACAAGGGCGAAAAATCTCGGAGGGCCCGTGTGCAAGTTGCGCACGTTAAAGATCCCTTGGTGGTCTAAAATCGATAAGAGTAGGCTTCGGCCGCCACCCGGGCAAGATTCGAAATTTCCTACTAACTGAAAATATTAGGTGTGTCCCGCGCGCTCATATGACCTTATGCAGTTGCGAGCGCCGTAAAACACTTTACAAAAAAAACAAAACAAAGGAGTCCACAAGAGGGGAAAAGCGTGCATTGTCACAAACTGAAAATCGTGAGGGGCACCAATTTTGAATGATTGTTGACTCATAACTGTATTTTTGTTCAACTTTTTGGTTGATTGTTGTTGTTAGATTTCCCGTTCAACAAACATAACAACAAACCACCAGTCAAACAAATATGAAGTTTTGAGTCCAAAAGTTTTTAAAATTGACCCCCTCAAAATTGCCAGTTCGTGACTATGCCTGTTTTTCCAGTCGACGCCCCATTTATTTTTTTGTGTTAAGCCCATTTTGTTTTGTTGCGATCATTTTGATTTCGCGATTTGAGTTGCCCAGTATCATTGTGTTCCAATGAAGTAGCACATTTTGAAATATTTCTTGAAAGACTTAAATTTGTGAATTTCTTTAAAACTTGCGAATTCAAGTCACGCACGGAAATACAGTACAACACGGTTAGTTCTAATTCGTCAGGGCTGGCCTCAGTGGTTCAAGGGATCCGTAGATCAAGGGACATCTTACAAAGATAAAGAAAACAAAGAACTGGGGGCTGCAGGCACAATTTGACGGATGCGTGATTTTGAGTCTTCCGTGTTCGACCTACCTGTGTTAAACTGCAGTAATCTTTATGTGGTCCTTTACTCTTCCTTCAGTCCAACTTTTCCTTGAGTCTTCCTCTAACTCTATATCCTGGTACTTTTGCGTAGTAGTAGGCTTTTAGGGCAGGTCGGTTGACAAGCATGTCAAGAAGATGTTCAACAAATTTCAGACACATCAGTGAGAGATTAAAGAGACAAATCAAGACAAGATTTTTTTTCTCGTTCCATTAAAAATAAAGCTGTTCTAGATTAAGTCACTTTGCGGCCTACACTATATGTGAAGCGTGCTGACAAAGGGAGTTACTTCTCGTATTTAAGCCTAATGGAAATAGATATATCATGCTTATAGGTGATGAAGTTTTGACAATTTATAAGTATGAAATAATAAAAGGCTTGGTATAGTTAAAGAATATGGCATCAATAGAAAATCTACAAATTTAATCCAAGGGTTGTTGTTGCTCTTGTTTTCAAATCCTTTTAGCAGCGAGCATTTCACTCTTGGCAGCGCAATGCTTCCTTCAAGTAACTACATGTCCTTGTCATCTGGTCAATGCTAGAGTAGAGCACTGCCGTCGTAAGGGAAAACGACAAATTGTCTAAATTTTTCGACTTTTTAATTTTTATATATTTCATAGAGTATTTAATTCTGCATCTGATGGTGTAAAAATTGTTGTCATATCCTAATCCATTGTTGCGTTATTGAGAGTTCGTCGTTTTCCCGTACACTGCCGAGCTCCGAGCCAGAGCTCAGTGTAAGGGAGAACGACGAATGGTCGATCGGTCAAGGATCACTGCTCGTTCGGCGTTGTCCCCTGGTCTCTGCCGTTGGGCAAATTCGGCATGGGCGACGGATGACAATTGGTCACTGTTGCGTCAGCACAAACATACTAGGTTTTTTGCAAACAAATACACCACTACCCCCTCCCCCGGAGTACCGTCGACCAGGGTTATAAGAATGTATCACTTAGTGTGTCTTTCTGTCTGTTTTCACGTATTAGGCCTATGCTGATGGTGGGAATTGACAAGGGCAGGCGGGAGAGAGGGGAAAAGTGGGGAGGGTCAAAAAAGTATTTAGGGAAAAATTTATTAGCACTGCATATTAGTGTCCGCCAGATGTTCACAGACTAACGTCATGATAGTTTGCTGTCCAGTCATTTGACATCCCAAATACCAACAATGGTTATAGTGCCGCAATTTGTCTAGCACGTGATACTGGTCGACATCATATAGAATTACCAAGCAATTAATGACACTGCGTTATGAGAATAAATTTCTTTGTCCAACTTAAAAAATGGACGTATTGTGGCTACACTTAGTCTTGCTTTACGATTTTGTATGATTTGATAGACGTTACGAACGAGTATAATAATGTCTTGCAGATTCAAACTGTCCTTGTCGATCTCTACTTTGTGGTATGTTTTCCGATCCGATCAACTGAATCCTTTATTAAATACAAAGCGTCGCATTACCTCTCTCGAAGGCGTTTGTGATACAGTCTTGTCAGATTGTTACATTTCTTACGTGAAAGTTTGACTTTGCAATGATCTGATCGTATTATTGACATTGTAACATTATTGATCCCTTTGGTCGTGCAGGGAAAATTTTGCAATTAGCGAAAATAAAAGTGAAAGTCGCTTCTGAAGAGAATATAAAAAAGAGATATCATGGAGACCAAACTTTGGTTCCGAATGAGACAGTTTTAAATCAAGCTGTTGAAAATGTGTGCACATCTGATTTGTACACTGACTGTGTAGTATTTAACCAAGCGAGGAAGGGAAACGAAGGACGTTTACCGAGTTACAGAACTTGGGATATCACAAACGCCTAACTTTATACGTATAATAGCTAGTTTGTATACGTCTTATTTTTTTTTTGTAGTAACCAGTAAAAAGTCATCACTGTCAATCATCACTGTCAATAATGCGTCACAAGAGGTCACAACTGACCATCGCCTACGCCCATAAACGTTCACGAGTGTAAGGGAGAACGACGAACGGTACCATTCGACTTTTTGGCGTACATCACAGGGCTCACCTGTGGGCACGCAATGTAAGGGAGAACGACGATTGTCGAATAACTACTACTTTTCAACCTAAACTATTCAAACTTTAAAAACTGCTTTATGAACACCTCAATCAGATATCTGGTGAATTACAGCTTAAAAGAGTGAAAAATAGAAGAGTTATAAAGTGAAGACTGTGTTAGCCTCTCCTGAAAAATTTGCCTCGCTACCTGCGCAGGACCATTCGTCATTTTCCCTTACGATGGCAGAGCAGGCAAAACCCAAGGGTCGATTTTTAGCCAATATCTCCCTTCGTGGATTGCGAGAAGTAATTCATTTGGTCAGCACCCCTCACAAATCGTTTTCAATCCCCCCCCCTCCCACCACAGTCTTCAACATCAATGACAATGACAATGGACGCAGCCACCTCTGTTTATGTTCATCTGCTTGCAGAAGTACGACACCAGGTATCTGAAATTGTCTATCCTCGTCTTGTTGAAAAATAACCTCCTGAGTTTTTTTGGAAGTAGGAAGCATTTCTGCAGGTTCACCGTCTTCAAGTTTGGGCAGTTGTCACAGATGGCTCTGAAAAGCAAAACGAAAAAGTTTTTGAGTGAATGCCCAAAAGTCTAAACAATATGTGAAATGTGCTGACAAAATGAGTTGCTTCTCTGATTCAAGCCTTACTTGGAAATAGATACATCACGCTTAGAGGTGAAGTTTTTACATTTTATAAGTATGACATAATAAAAGGCATGCTATACTAAAAGAATATGGCATTAGTGGAAAATCTACAAATTTTTTACCCGATTCGGCCAATATCTTCTATTGTGGATTGCGAGAATTAACACATTTGTGAGGCATCGTGGTGAAATCAGGCGCTCGTCGAAATTACGAAATCAAAGAAATCTGCATGTTTTTGGCCGATTGACAGTTTTTTTCCAAATTTCTTTTTTTTTTTTTGGGCTCAACACCTTTTTATGTCCATTTAGAAATACATTTTTATTGGATTTTTACTGATAAAACTTCGATTAGACACAAAATATGTAAATTTCAAGTTTCCAAGGACTCTCAGGCTAAGGAAGTTACCAAATTTTGGCGGCCATTTTTTTGCTAATATTACCTCTGAAACCAGGCGACCCTGACCTCCATCAATCGCAAGTATTTGAACTTTTATTCAGGATAGAAGCATATTTTTGTATCCAAAGAAAAGCAAATGAATTGGCTTTAAGATGATACCAATAACTCCATAAGACCAAAAAATGACGAGCGTCTGATTCCAGCTCGTCGTGACACATTCTGTCAGCACGTCTCACATATACTAAAGAAGCTGCATCATCTCTTTTACTTTTAGTAAAAGTTTTACAGCACTTGCAACACAATAAGGTCATATAAGTGCTGAAGATTAGAATTAGATGTGTTACAAGAGAGTAACAAACACAAAAAAAAAGAAGGGGGAAAGCTAAGGATGTAGGTCTTTAGTGCTCGCAACTATTGGCAAGATGTACTTTGAACATAGTTAGTATTAGTAAGAGTTTTCCGGCACTTGCAACACAATAAGGTCATATAAGTGCCGAAGATCACTCCAAATATTCATTTGATTAATTTAAGCATAAAACATTGTGTTCTGACTAAAAGGTTTTTTAGTCTGAACACAATGTTCTACATTACTGTTGCACATTGTATTGTATTGTAAAGTGGTCAGAGCCTGTGTATTTTAATCGAGGTTGAGCGCTATATATAAATGTCATTTATTATTATCAGAAGTCAGGTGACGAGTGGTCGATACACGCAACAACCCTCTCCCCCCCCCCCTACAAAATAAAAACCTGAGGAGGTCTCGCCAAGGTCACGAACGACGAGCGTCCGACCGACCGACTGACTGACTCATTGACTCACATGATGAGTGGCATCTCCACGTCCATATCTCTAGCTGACACATGCAACAACCAACCCCTCCTAAAAAAAAAAAACCCCAAAAAACCCGAGGAGGTCACTCCAAGGTCACAAGCGACGAGCGACCTACCAACCGACAGACAAAATAATTGACTCACTAGGTGAGCGGCATCTGCATGTCCACGTTCTCTAGCTGACACATGCAATAACCCCCCCACCCCCATAAAAAAACAACCGAAGATAAAAAAACAACAACCAAAAAAAACCGAGGTCACGCAAAGGTCACGAGCGAAGAGCGTCAGTCCGACCCACCGAGCTACTGACCGACCGAACAACCGACCAACTGACTGACTGACTGACCGACTAATCTACTCACCTGATGAGTGGCATCTCCACGTCCATGTTCTCCAGCTCTATCCTGTGCAGCACACGGTTCTCCGAGGACACCAGGCAGTTGACGGCGCACGTCACGTCACACATGCAGAAGCTGCTGTAGGACAGGACCAGCTCTGTCAGGCTGTGTCGCCACTGTGGTTGGGGGGG